AGACAAAGTGGCACAGAAAGAGATGGAGTTGGAGCTGAGGTTGACGAAAGTGGTGCAGAAATATTGCTTATTGAATCACCTGAAGTAACTGATAATGACTTAAAAGGATGGTTGATCCTTATCCATGCCTCATAATTAGGATCCCTAATGTCAAATCCTTCCTCAAATCTTTTTGTATATAGCTTTTCCTGTTCTTCTGTAAAAATAGGACTACTTGGAAGTGATTCGTTGTCATCCTCAGTGCTTTCTTGTGGCACACAAAAAGGCTTTGATGGAGCCAAGCGTCTATCATCTACGGCACTCGGATTAAATGGAAAAAGACCACATTTCTTGAAACCACTCAATATGTTAAGTGTCGTAAATGAATGAGGCCATGCATCAGCAACCAATGCAGCTAACTTATCATTTGTCACCACTCTGCCTGGATATTTTGCCATATAGTTTGAACAAGCCTTATTAAAATTAGCTTTAAAGGACTTGAACACACCCACATCAAGAGGTTGCAAGATGTGGGTCGTGTGTGAAGGCAAGCAAAGGAGATGAATATGATTTGCACGGGCAAATTCAATGGCTTCAATCGATACATGAGAAATGTGACCGTCCTGAATGAGCAAAACTGGTCTTGTAGGAGGGATATTTGCAACGAAAAACTTTAACCATTCCAAAAATATGTTAGAATTTATCCACCCATTCTCACTAGTGTGAAATGAAGTGTTAGGTACGGCTCCCTCCTTAAAATTGTCAGGTACGGGTCTCTTACGAGGATAGACCATTAATGGTGGTAATACAAAGCCAGTTGCAGACACACAAGCAACAACAGTATGCGTCCTTCCCTTCTCTGCTGACGTAAGAGAATATACTGTACGACGACCTAATTTCATAACAACTCTGCCTGGACAATGAACAATAGAAATGCCACTTTCGTCACAGTTGTAAATTTGCATCGGCTTAGAAAGAAGGTTTAGCCGACCAAATATTGCTCCTAATTTTCCAAAGAAATCTCTTATAACATCTGGATTAGCTGATAGAGCTCTGCAATGAGATAGTGGCTGAGGTGTACGAATTGTTAGCATAGGATGTCGTTTTCGAAAACCATCAAACCATGAACGACCTGCCGAGTCACCAGTAAAAGGATGTTTTTTATTAAACTTCTCAGCTATAACAAAGGCTGAATGCATTACAGTTTCTCTTGTTAATCCATAACCCATGTCTGCCATCATAATCAAATATTCACATAATTTATCTTCCTCTTCTTTCGACAAGACTGTTGCAGGGCCCGGTTTACAGTCAACACTAACAGTACCATTCGTCCTTCTCCGCAACGTCTCAACAGGCACATTATATAGTCTCGCCGATTCCCTTAAACCTTTCCCTTCCTCTGTAACACTAATCACTGCTGCGTGCATGGACTCATCGGTCCATAGCTTCCTTGATTTTTGAGGACATGCAGCCATTAAGCCTCGGTTAACCTAAACAGTATAGATTATAAACTAGTATTTTCTTTGAAGCATTAGATATATCACTTACATACAATGCCAGTCACATAGAGAC